ACACACACACACACACACACACACACACACACGAGTGGGAAAAACTAGCTGCTGAACAATACGTGCACAATGTGATTGTACTTTTATTTTTAAATGTGAAACGTGTACCTTTAACAGATGCAAGTAACAGTGCTTAGAGACAGACCCTTCCCTCTTAGATTATACACATCTCCAACATTCACGTTTTTAAAAACTAGGAATCTATTACAGGTGAATTTGAAAACAATACAAAGAGGTGGGTAATGTCTCCTACTGTCCCAGGCACGTACTAGGTGCCCACGGTGACAATGGTTGGCATGTCTTTCTACCAGTGTCAGGCTGGTACCCAAAAGCCAATCAGACAGGTGGGCACTTGGGGAAGAGACCCTGTCCGACAAACCAGACACATGCAGCCGAGGTCAGACGCTGGAGGTCCTCCCAGCCCAGGGTCTCTGCGCGACCACCCTGAGAACCTGCTGAGCAGGTGCCCACCTGGGAGGTGAGGACACTGGGGCCCAGGGAGCTACTGATGTGCCCAAGGCAACACTGAGAGTCAGCGGCCGGGCCTAGGACGAGAAGGGAGGGGCAAAGGGATCAGTCGGATACCCTCGGGTTGAGTCAGACCCTCCCACGCCCCAGGGCGGGTTCTTGAACCTCTGCATCTGCAAAAGTCCTTAGAAATGAGATAACACCCTTGCGCACTTTCAGCCCAGCGTGTGCTAAGCACTTGACCGGTGCCATCACGACCACCACTTTCAACCAACAGCCTTGAATGCTGCCTGTGTACCGAGCCCCACCAGTGCGCGCCCGGTGCTGCAGAGGAACTTCCTTCAGCCCTGCCACAGCTCCGCAGTCACCTGGCCGCCCAAGGCCGTTCAAGGTCACCCAGCCCGAGGCAGCTGGAACAGGCCCCTGGGCTACCTCACTCTCCCCCGCAGGCACACCCGGCGCCCTGCAGGGCGGCTCTGAGTGGAGCCAGCGCAGGGCCTCCTGCCCGGATCACCGTGTTCCCGGGAGCAGGAGGCAATTGCCCGGGCCAGCCAAGAGTTACAGGTTGTTTACTCTCCAGCAGTCACTGCTCTGTGTAATTCATGCCACATAAAACATGACGGAGGCCGTGGTCACCCCAGAAAGTAGGGCTGCACACCAGAGGTCCCGCAGCCACAGCGGAGAAAGCACGATGGCGCAGAGCGTGTCCAGCATGTGCGGTCTGTCTGGTCCTTGCTCGGACACAGTGCTCACACGTAGGGCACGCTCAGTGACAGCTTCGGGCCCTCTAGACCCAGTCCCCATCGATGGCCCATCACCTCCGTGACCTTGAGCACCGCACAGCACCTCCTCGCGGCCACTGAGTGCCAGGGACCCGGCTCCCAGCCCACACACAATGCGTCCTCAACAAGCACCTGGAAGACAGTGAGTGAGTGAGTGAGTGAGTGAGAGTGTGTGTGTGTGTGTGTGAAAAAGCAGAGTAAGTTGCATCCTGGAGACACCTTAGGGAAGGGATGGTTTCCAGGGCTGAGCAGGAAGAACAGAAGACGCTCTGCGGGTATTAAGCATCCTTAAGTGTGGGGGAGGGTCAGGAGAACGTGGGCTCACCATGCTCAAGGTCCTGGGTTCAATCCCTGGTGCCTCCACTGAAGGATAAATAAGTAAATAAACCTAATTACCCCTCCCCCCCAAAAAAAGAAAAAAAGAAAGCATCCTGTGATGCCAAAAGTGAGGAAATGCTCAAAAAAGGATGGAGGCACGTCAGAGCACCCCAAGACCCCATCTGCAGGCGCTCTCAATAGCCACAGCTGGAACCACTTAAAAACAAAACAGACAGCAGAGCTGAATGTAATGCAGAGAACAAAGTAAATGTCCGCCAGTCTATACTGACATAATAAATAAGTGGATAAAAACATTAATGACAGAGCTCTCTCTTACGTAGCGTTCCGATTACTAAATGTGGAAAGAAATATCTCCTCCACCCCAAGGTATTTATTAATTACCAAGGGGAACCTTGTAACTTTGCAGACAGCACTAAATCATTAGGGTGGACACAAGACCCGGCAGCATCAGTGTCTCGGGTCCCCAGGGCGTGCTGTCACTGCAACCTCAACGCCATCATTAAAAACGGCAGATGAGCCCACATTCTACAAAGGCACCAGGCAGCAAGCACTCTTTAAGTCTGCAGGTTACGCAAGAAAAGGAAAGACTAGGGGATGGTCACATCCGAGGAGACAGGACATGCAAGGAAAGGCCGAATGGGGTCCTGGAGAGGAACCCGGACAGAAGAGGACAGCAGTGGATGAGCCGTCAGGGGAGCACAATCATCCCAGGTCACATGTCAAATGCTAACAGGCAAGTCAGTAGGTCAAAGGACAGAAAAAAGGTAAAACCCAAGTCCCAAAGATAAGGCCGCACTGTGACTCCCTCACCAGGGCACCTCCCACCCAGCTCTGCCCTCAGGAACAGGGTCCCAGGCTGGGAGCTCCCCCTGTTCACACAGGTGAGCGCCAAGTTCTCGAAGGTGGGAGCCAGGCCTCCTGGTCACTCACACTCTATCACCACCACCGCCTGGCCCCAGGCAGCCTCGTTCTGGGTCTGTCCTCCCGTCCCTGCAGGACTTTCTGGGGCACACGGGGGTGTTAGATCCTCCCTGAAGCAACCAAAGCCTCGCCCCAAGGTCTCCGAGGAAAGCGGGCCCCTGGAGGCCATCCTGGGAACCATGCGCCCTCAGCCTCTGCCGGGGGAGGGGAGGCCGGCTCCCACAACCTGCCCTCCTGGGAGGCAGGGAAGGCGAGTGGCAGCCCCTCTGGGTGGCTGGGCTGAGGACCTGCAATCTCAGGAGTGTCTGGTGGCTTCACTGTGACAGCCCTCCGGCCACAGAGGCAGGGAGGCTGGTGGGCACAGCCCCTCAGAGAAGAACAGAGGGAGTTGGAGCATCTTCACGGTGCCTGAGCCCCTGGCTGCAGGGGGCTCCTGAGACCCAGCGGCGGCCCTGCCTGACCACCTGCTTGGTGTGATGTCGGCGCCAGAGAGGCCTCCATCACCCGTCGTGACTCCATCAGAAAGGTCGAAAACAGGAAACGTGACACTGGAACCCTCCGCTCTCACTGGTGCAATGTAATTAGCGCAGCTGCTTTGGAAAAGAGCCCGCAGCGCCTCAGAGAGTGAAACAGTTACCACGTGCCCCAGACACTCCACTCCTAGGTACACACACACAAACCCACATGAGTGCTCACAGCAGCACACTCCTAACAGCCACGAAGTGGACACAACCCAGACGTCCATCACCTCAAGAATAAGTAAAATGAGGGACATCCACACAACGAAATTATTCAACAGCAAAAGGGAATGAAGTTCTCATACACGCAGCACCGTCGACAGCCCTTGAGAACGTCACGTGGAGGAACGTCAGTCACACAGACCACCCATTTGTAGGACATCATTTATATGAAGTGTGTACAGAAAGCAGATCAGTGGTCGCCGAGGGCTTGGGGAGTGGGGCAGAGGGGGAGAATGAAGACTGACTGCTAACAGGTGCAGTTTGTTTTAGGAGGAACAAAAATGCTCTAAAATTAGTTGTAGTGATGGCTTCCTATGTTTAACTGACTGCACTAAAAAAAATCTATGAACTGGACACTTTAAATGGGTATGTGAAGTGTGTATGGAATGTGAACTACATCCTAATGAAACTTTAAAAAAAGAGACAGAGAGAGAGCAGACCCCAGTGCCACTGTCTCCAGGAGCAGGTCACACAGCCTCCTGGGCCCCACTGACCACCTGTAACACGGCGGGTGGGATTCGGGGTGGACAGGCCCCATCAGTGCTTCATGAACCACCTGGTCACCTTCAGGACAGTGCAGGTTCTGACTCGGCTTTCCTGCAGCAGACCCAATTCTGCATTTCTAACTAGCTTTCAGGGGAGGCTGGTCCGCAGACATTTTTAGTAGTGAGACGTCAGAGGTGGCATCTCAGGCTCCCTCCCGCCCGAATACTTCAGGAATCTACCTTCATCCACCTAGGAATTCCCATAGGTCATGTGGTCTCTCCTTCCCATTCGGGACTCACAGGTTCCCCTAATCACCCGGGTGGAAGCTTCTGGGGGATGCTCACTGGCACGAGACAGCTCTTAATAAAGATGCGAACAGGTCCACCTTTGCGCTGAGGGATACAGTGGACCACCTTGACTGAGAACAGAAAAGCAGGTCCCCCAAAATTTCATTTCATGGAGAGAGGATGGCACCTGGAAGGCCAGACGACAGTCACTCACAGGGGCATCAGAAGTCCTAGTCCCAAGTGACTGGGGCCCAAAACATCTTCAAGACGTCTCAGGGGACTATAGGACATCAGATGGAGAACACAATCAGCCAAGATGTTGGCCCAGGAACACGCTAAAGGGACGGGAAGGGTGGGGAGTGGACGGAACACAAGAAAGTGCTGGAAAACCTCGCCACACAAAGGGGGCAGGAGGGCAGTGAGAAATGGAGCCAGCTAGACTCTCCAGAGAGGACCAGCTCACCAGCTCTCCTTGGACTTGACACGAATGTCAGCAACTTGACCTCAATCAGAAAGAGCCAGTCAGAAACTACAGACAAACTCGCCTAAAAGTGCAAACTTAGATTTCAGGACGTATGTAAGACACAGTTTTCCCCAAATCCCTGGACTCTTGGGAAAGTGGTACCGAAATGGAAAGCTGCCTAGTTGCAACATACAAGTGCAGAAGGTGAGCTATAAAAATTACAAACAGCTTGTATCGTATTTTATATTTTGTAATTACCGAACACCATGTATTATGTATATATGGTCCATACTTCAGAGGCACATTACAGTTTTGTTTTGAAATTACGTATTTTGCCCTGCCCAAATGGCAGGTGTTTGGAATATACACAGTGTGCTAAGGTACGTGTAAGACCGACCTATTTGCACAAGGTACTGAGAGATTTCTTTTCCAAGAAACAGCTGTCAAGAGGGGAGGGTATCGCTCAGAGCTATAGAGCGCGTGCTTAGCATGCAGGAGGTCCTGGGTTCAATCCCCAGTGCTCTCCCTTAAATAAGTAATATATAAACCGAATTACCTACTCCCCTAAAAAAAAAAATTTTTTTTAAACAACAGCTGTCTGATCACAAGGTAAAGATTTAAATGCAAACTGTTTACTAATGCACTACTGAAGTTTAAATCTGTGGCATAATCATAGTAAACGGGGGGGGTTTGTCTATGTTTCTTTAATTTCTGCATTCTAATCCGTAATTATTGGAAAACTCTTATTCCCCTCTTTACTGAATTTAATGTCCGGTTTTGGGTTTATAGCCATTCAAATCTACAGTTTAATACCAACAAAATCGATTGCAATCAAATTCTAAAATAGTAATTTGCCCCCCCCTTAAGAAAAAGAAAGAAAATACAGACCAGGGTGATCATTCAGATGTCATTTTGAAGACATTCAATGATGCTGTCAATTTACTATTTCCTTAAAAAATCTTGAGAGAGAAAAACAGAGTGTTTTCAAAGTTATGCGAAGAAAATCCGACGCAGTTCAAATCACAAGCCTCCAACCAGAGCCAGCACCGCCACAGGGTGAAGACGCCCAGGTGGACAGTGAGAATCAAACTCTCCAGCTCAAACTCAGCACTGCCCGAATTACACGAAAATCCTGAAGTTCGACTCTGCAGAAAACCAGTGGAGGAGGGAATTTGCTGCTTAGAAATAGAAGCTTCTCAAAGTGCGCAAAAACATCAGGCTTACCACACATCAAAGCCTTGACTCCTACAGGAAGACAGCCAAAGACCCAGGGAAGTCACAGGTGGCTGCGCTCCCCTGAGAAGACAGCGCAAGAAAGTGTGGGTGGTGGTAGGGGCTGAGAAAGCTCACTGTCTTACATGGGCAGTGCCCACAGCAAGTAAAAACAGCTGAATTAGGATGTGAAACCCAGCTTTTCCCAAGTGGCCCCTTTGTGTGCGTTACAGCTGTCGCCCAGGGCAGCGCCCAAGGTCAGGGGATTCTACAGTCACCACGTGTTTCCGATGCTGGTGAACCCTATGCGGGCTGCCCCTCCCAGGACCAGTCAACTCTTGGGAGAATGAATGAGCAGGCTGGCCTTTCTCATGCAGACCAACCAATCCAAGTCCAAAGCCCCACACCCTCTTTGATCCATCTGGCTTTCCCAGAACCTCACCCCGGCCACAGTTTTTGGCCCTAATCACCCCAAAAAGGTGCACCAGACCACCAAGGACAGCCCTTCTGCCCCAAAGCCAATCCTAAAACAGCCAACTCTGCCCCCCCGACTCTGTACCCTAGAAACCACAAGAAACCACAAGAAAGGGTCTTGCCCACATTTCTCACTCACTCCTTTCCGCCTCCTGAGTGACTCCCTGGCTTCTTCATCAGGCCTCACCTGGTGTGACCTGCACCCTTCCTGTTGGGAAATGTGAGCAACAAACTCAAATGGTCTCCTTATCTGCTGGCCTCACAATCCCTGAAATACAAACGGATCAGACACCCCTGCGTCAGCAGGTCCCCGGGGAGCAGGAGGGTGAGCTGTGAGGGCTCCATGATGCAGGGTGACCAGCAGGTTGGATTCAGATCTGCAGCAGCCAATCTCTGAATACATACCAGCCTGGCAGGACAGATGATGTGTCTTCTTTCTTTAAATTAATTCTGATTGAGGCTTATTTCATTTAATGTGTTACCTAATTGATGCTGCTTAATTGATGTTCTCATCGAAGTTTTAATAATTATAATTTCTAATATAGTGTTTCCAGATTCTGGATGGTCTTTACCATAATTCCTAAGAATTCCTGGGGAGGAGGGTATAGCTTAGTGGTAGAGCATGTGCTTAGCATGTACAAGGTCCTGGGTTTAATCCCCAGTACTTTAATTAACATTAATGAATAAATAAACCTAATTACTTCCCCCACCAAAAAAAGAGTATACCATTTCTAGCACACTGAACCCTCTGGAATTAGAGGATGTAAGTATTACAGATTAACTCAATTAACTGGTCCACTATTACCTAAAGCATAATGTTTGACATGCCAGAAGGAGACCTCTGATGCATTAAAAATCATTTCTATATGCTGAGCTATGAAAAACAATCTGGAGAAGGAATCTTACATTTACTTCAATAAATGTTGTTAAGTTTTAAAAACAAATTAAAAACCCAGTTAGCAGTAGTCATACCCCTAGCTAGCTTATTCATATTTTTATTAGTTTATTAATTCATAGATTAATTATGGAGGAGCTGTTCCTTACTTTGTTGGGTTTTCTTTTTAACCTTTGTTAAGTGGTTTATAAAATTCTTGGCTGAGTAAACATTTCTAAATTTTATGGAGGCTAAATAAAGTATCCTTACACAGCAAAAACAAAACAAACAAGTATCTCAGTTAATTCTCAAACAACACTGAAGTGGGTGTTACGTCTGTTTTACAGAAAACACAGTTGACATCTTTGGGGACTTGGGAAAGAACAAAGAACTTGAATTGGAACATGGATGTACCCAACTTCTTGGCTTTCAATCTGCCACCAAGTTTCTAAGAAAGGATAATTAATAGTGCCACCCAACTGGTATTACCAATAGGGAGAAAGCTGGTTTGGTTTTTTTTAACAGCAGATGCTGGGTAGCATTCACGGATATATGTAAGGATTTACCTCTCATTTTTCCTGGCTATGTAGTATTCCACTATTCAGCAGGTTACTGAGAGATACAGAATTCCTCCCTCATTCCTTACATACCAAAGTAAGTTCCAAATTATGAAAGACATGGAAAAAAAACTTTAAAAAACAGATGAATATGATCAAAAATTTAAAGTGGAGAAGGCTTTTCCCAAACAGGACATGAAACATTAAAATCTAATAAATCCGACCCCATAAAAATGTATTTAAAATTTTATTATGCAAAATAAAGAACAAGCAGACAAATGAAAGAAAAATGAATAAAATCAATGAAAACTCAGTAAAATATTTCTAACACACTATCCCACATATGCAAAGAGCCCTTACAATTAAATAACAAAAGGATGAAAAGTCCCACTTGAAAAACAGGTAAATCAGATGAAAGGAAAAAGAAACAATCAAATAAAACATGGAAAAACAGTCATCATTAAAGAAGTGAACATTAAAACAAGAATACCTTCTGTTTTTCCCACTAATTACCAAAGGTTAAAAAGTGTTGGCGAAAATACAGAAAAACAGACATTCTTCACTCATTCAAAGAAGCTCTGTGTGCCAGGCACTGTTCTAGGACCAGCAGTGAGCGAGATACCCAAGGTCTCCACCCTCAGGGAGTCTATGTCCCAGCTGGTAAAGATGGAGGGAGGATAAGGGAGGAATACACAATTATTCAGATAGTTATCGTTCATACAAGGACAGATTGGTACAACGTCACTGACTTCACTCCACAGCAATACGGCAGCATCTATCAAAATGTTGTGCCTCCAATCCCATTTCTAGATATTTCTTCTACAGATGTTCTCACTCCTGCTTAAGCACAAAGGTATGTGACATGGATGTTCACTGGGGTGCCAGGTGCGATTATGAAAAAAATGGAAACAAGCCCAAACGTTCCTCAAGAGAACGAATTATGCAACATGCATACAATGGATCATAATGTAACCAGTAAAGACCAGCTTTTGCTTCTTTTTTTTTTCCCCCCCGGTACTCAAGCAGAAAGACTTTGAAGAGACATTGTTGTAGGGGTGGGAGGTAGAATACAAGTTGCTAAAACACTATACATAATACAATCTCATTTCTCTTAAAAGAGACACACACATTCCTACAGATACACATGCATGAGTGCCTACAGTTACAGACACTTCGCGGTTCGTGCATCAGTCTACAAGTAGACACATATAGGATAACGTGTGACTAAGAAAAACCTGGAAAGTGGGATCATGGGAAGCTTTCTAGAGTGCAAATTTCTGTACTGTCGGCTGCTCTGTTTTACAAGTGTGGGCTATTTTTACACTCAGCAAAGATTAAGGGAGAAAATATTAAAAAAAAAAGAAAAGTAATGTATCTAAGGGTCATTTGGTTTTCTCAGTTTATACTCCCAAACTTCAGGCTAAAAATTAATCTGGAAAGAAAACTTCAGCTCCTCCGGAGGAAGGATAACAAACAAAGGAACTAATCCTTTGCCTCATTCCTTAAATTCAAAGTCGCTGATATAATTGGGGAGAAGGGAAAATAATATAACTGTGTGCTTACTATTTGCCAGACATTTATTATTCCCTTAATTCTCAAGGCAACACAAAATGAAATCAGCTCAGCTCCACAGAAGAGGAAACCCAGGGTCTTAGAGATTCTGGGAGTTCCCTAGAGCAGAAGCTGCCATCCTACTTAGTTCTAGGATCCGGGAAGACAGGACTTCCCGCTGGGAGTTCTTATCTCCCCGGCCATTCCCTCGGGTCACTGTGGGTGGAGAGCATGAGGCTGAGGGTGGGGTGGGAGAAACCCATTATGGGTTTTTTTGTTGTTGTTCAAGGAGGCATTTTCTCCCCCGCCCTCCCTCAGAGCTGCATCAAGAGTTCCAGGTGGCAGGCAAGGCCCCTGGAGGTGCCTAGCCTAGAACCCTGCCTATAGTAGGTCCTGGAAAAGCGGGTGCCTCCCCTCCCAGAGCCCCCTCAACGGTCACATCAGCGCTCCACCACTCCCCAGGCCTGCCCCACTTCACCTCTGTCAGCCTGCCTTCTAAAAACAGGACTACTCCACTAGGGGAGAATTGCTCAAAAGGGAACAGCAGAATGTGCTTTGTGAATTCTAAAGCACTAAGCCAGCTGTCACCCTAACGCCTAGGGTCCCCACCTCCCACTTCAAGTAATCCTGAACGCAGCAGCCCACACCAAGTAGGGTCCAGTGCTTCCGTAATGACAGTTTTAACGCCCTGCAGAGGAATGTCGGCTGTGCGTTACGCCTACTACCTGGTTGCACAGTGAGTGAGGAACAAACAGAAAAGTCCAGAAGGCCTCCTGCCTCTTATCTCTCCAAGAGTTACCATCTGTCAAGTCTAAGAGGTACAATGCTTAGTTCTAGAACAAACCCCGTGTTAATCTTTGAATGAGGTAGGGGGATGAAAATGGTTTAAAAAAATTTTTTAATTCAAAGT